CCCCACAGAAGCGGTCATTTGTACGTCCACTCACAGTGATGCCTCCCCACATTATAGTTCAATCCCCACAGAAGCGGTCATTTGTACGTCCACTCACAGTGATGCCTCCCCACATTATAGTTCAATCCCCACAGAAGCGGTCATTTGTACGTCCACTCACAGTGATGCCTCCCCACATTATAGTTCAATCCCCACAGAAGAGGTCGTACTCACTGATGTTGAACTGAGTATGTCGTTCGCCTCAAGCTTTCCAGACACTAACCCATCGATGATTGGTAGACGCAGGAAACATTAACCAGTGAAGAGTGCAGGCGACTGTTGGCATTGCTTTCAATTCTGGTGAACTCGACAAAAATTCATACAGGCTGTAATGAGTTGAAGTAAGCTGTCTCGACATTATGACAAGCTCAGGGAGCTTGTAAATTTTGTCACTGATAATATCTCCAGTTATTGTCTAAGAGTCTATAATAATACCGTGAGTAGTAATAATCGATTCGTTATGGGTATGTTATTGTCAAAATAAAGGGATTATTCTTCTTAATACTATAAATAGTAGAAGTATTTAGTAAATAGGTTGAGTGGTAAATAGGTGGGTGTTGGGCTTAGGATTCTTCTACAGTAGGTGTCTGTGACTTGATGGTGATAAATTCAACGACAAATTAACAGCACGCACTCCGCTTGTTTTAAAATAATATATTCAAAACAAGTTAAACGTATGTACAAACATTCTTTATACTATGCATATCATTGTTGTATCTTAAATACTATACACTTTTCTTCTTGTCAAATATCCACTTAGGCCTATTCAATTGTTTTAGAATTTCAGTTGACAAACCGATCTACCTTTCTCCATTTCTATCGCACTAGTATTCCGTGTATAATTCACTTACAATTATAGCGTGAGTTACCACAGTCGGTTGTATACTGTTTTTTTAAGTAATCATCTGGTCCTCGTACTTCAGATACAGTCTGTTACTTCTGTCAAAGTGCACTCAGGCTGGTTCAATTACTTTGGAACTCGCTTTGACGGAATAAACTATACTTCTTATCTCTTTTAAAACTGTTAGTTTTCCTCTAACATATTAATCGTTAGGCCTTTCATTCCTCCGGCAGTTATCTTTATGTTTAACTTTTCTTTCGCCGAGCTTCTACTTCCGTGACTTTACTTTCTCGTCTGCTCTGTCTGTCTGCTGTTCCCGCTCGTCTCACACTATTTATATATTTATCACTTTCGTCTGCTCGCCTTCTAGAAATATATATATCCTGGACATAAATAAGTTTAATGCGACGTTCTATAGCCTCAACATCAATGAATTATAAACACAACTTCCATCAATCGTCTGCTTTTAACTCTCTTATTATGAAAAACTAAACGATCATAAAATATTAACTCACCAAAAAAATTAATTAATACTACCTACACTAAACAGTCATTTATATCATGACAGTTATGCAGACAGTGGTCATTTTGTGGCAAATATGATCTTCCATGACCTGTCTAGTGTGCAGCTCAATTCTCTAATAGCGAGTTTACAATATTCCAACTATGCTAACTTTTACATCAAAATAAGCTACCACTTGTCTTTCAGCTTGTCCTATTTCCAGCACTTGAACAGCTCTGAAGGTCTGTATTTCCGTTAAAAACTTCTGTCTACTACCAGTGTTAATATTGTCACAAAATTATGTTGAAAAAAAAATAATCCAAGTTAAATAGCAAATCACCAAATGATAAAATATGTAGACAAAATTGGAGTGCTGTCTTTCCAGGGCGGGTAGCATGTGTAAACTACTACGAATTATGTTAAAAACACACACGTACAGGACTAATGACATACATTTTTGAGAGTTTAATATTTTCTGGGCTGATTTTTTTGTCATAGTGAAGATTCGTGCTAAAATTATGTTAGGGAAAAAAAACAATGCTATTACTTACAAGAATAATCTATCTTTGGTCTCGGGAAACAAAAGAAAAAATCTAAAACTTAAATTATTGTAAAACTTTTTTTTGCCCTATGTTGGATTTCTGCAGTTAAACAAGTATTGATTATATAGTTCGGATAAGGACCGTGGTAACTAAATCATTTGAACTTAAGAAACAGAAGAAATATTGGCTTATGTTGTTTATTAGTAGCTTTATTAAGTACAATGATTTTTTAAAACAGTTGTCCGTTTTAACGATATCATAAGAAAAGCTTAAAGCTGACGTCATTTCACGCTCATGGTGTTTTATTATTTAATTACATAGATTCCTATTTTCGCATCATTACAACAATACTAGTAGATATGCATTGAAATTCCTAAATATCCATTAATATCAACCATTTGTATTTTTGAATAATAATATTTTAACTTAGAAACAAAAGTATTGCTTATATTTTTCAAAGTGTGGTGTAAAAAAGGTAGGAAAACCGAAAGTCAGTTATGATAGATACAAAAGAAATACGTGGGAGAAAACACCAGGAGTACGAGTATAGAAGAGACACATAAAGTATGAACATGGTAGACATAAGAAAATCTATTCAAACCTTGATACTACTTTTAGAAGCGTCGAACGACCGTCGCCGCATCGAAGCGTTGCCAAACATTTTTATACAGACATGTTTTAACGCCCGAAGAAAGTAGAAAATGGACTTGGGGCTAATTATAATATTGAAAGGGGGTGGTAAAGTGGAACCTTCGTCGAAATAGCCCATCCACAGCTTGGATCGTGCAAACTTCCATTCCCTGTCTGCATGATCCTAAAATCAGACATTTCTACATCAATAAACAGACTGAAGAGTTTTATATTGTGGAAAATACAAGAAAACTCTTGTTAACCTGTACGGTTTTGAAGACATGCATTTTTATCTTTAAATAACAGAATTGTTTATTAGTTTGTTTTAAGTTCGTTTACACTAAATACATTAACAGGAATACAAAGAATATTTTACCAAAATGCTTCACAGATGGCTCGGTTATAGACAACAGAAATTCATTAGAATATTGATTAAATGAAACTAATAATATATGTTTACGTTCCTTAGCATTAGCCGGAGTTAATAATTTAGTCCCGGGTTTTATACCGATAGAAAAATTAGATGTTCAACTTTAGTTGCTTGCTAATATACATAAACCAGTGTCGCCCTCTTAAAAAAATTACCTCACTTTAACTGTCAAATTAAACAATTACTTATATGTATATTATCAAGTACAAATTCAATTAATACAAAGCAACGTTCTTTTACAACAGGTTATAGTAAATACTAAATGGTCGGGACTCAAATGAACGATATTAACAACTAGAAGTTAACGACCATTATCTTCCATTATTCCATTACACATAAGGAGAGAACAGGTGTGTTTATATTCTATGTGCTAATACTAAACTTGATACAATATGAATATATATATATATATATACACGCTGTACTTTTTGTCTTTTTCTATATAACTTTGCAAAATAAAAGTTAATTATCAGTAAATGTTTTTCGTAATTTACATTAATAAAACGAGAGATAAAATCAGATACGTTGTACAGGGGACTGGGTATAAATCAGACACTAGCAGTAAGGTCATATTAAAGTCAAAACATTTCGCAGCACTGCTTTTTCACTCAATACTAAGATGCTCAGAACAGGGAACACGTGTTACAGCTCTCAATCAAGTTTGTTTAACAACCGTATAAACAAAATAAAAGTTAATTATCAGTAAATGTTTTTCGTAATTTACATTAATAAAACGAGAGATAAAATCAGATACGTTGTACAGGGGACTGGGTATAAATCAGACACTAGCAGTAAGGTCATATTAAAGTCAAAACATTTCGCAGCACTGCTTTTTCACTCAATATTAAGATGCTCAGAACAGGGAACACGTGTTACAGCTCTCAATCAAGTTTGTTTAACAACCGTATAAACAACCATTGCCCAATATAGAGCTAAACTTTGAAAAAATACTGGGCTAAGTTAACAATGTGTTGGCGGACACTGATAAGTTATATACGTTTAAAACAACAGTGTTTACTTTTAGAAAATCAGCAGTACTTATTGCTATGATCAATAGTTTGCAGAACATTCAAAACTCTGCTCGAAATTCCAGATAATTCAAGCGAATCCTGGGACAAATATAATAAAATCCGAAATTTGTCTAATGTTTGTCAAATAGTTTTATAAATTTATACAGAGATTGAGTACGCTATACTAAAACGATTTTGGAGCTTTCCCTCGTCGTTACTCCCCATGTCTCAACGTCCGGTCATGATCTACCTGGCAACTGTGTATCTTGACAATAGATATGCAGCGTAGTTTCCATTGCAAAATCTCTCATATCCAAAGCTCATCACTCCTCCATGCTTGACCAATATGTATTCGTATGGAATAGTATTATAAGTATAATGGAAACAGCTTGTGTATGCATGACTTAGGCAGGTTTTCTAAACGAAGATCCTTATTGATTATGCTGCATAATATTGCCTGGGACACGTGCACAGCTTTTGCCATTAACCTTTGTGTTTGTAGATTCTCACCTGTTATAAGACACTACACTTTGCTTATCACAACTGGGATACGACTTTTTGAGGGTTTCTTTCTGGATGATCCTGGTATCCCAAGCTTATCCATTTTCCATATTTCCAATGCCATTAAGTACAAGTTATATTGCCGTATTGGAAATTCTACCTCCCCCCCCCCAAATTTGAACGCATTTTTATGATCAGAGTGTATGAATATTTTATCAGAAAGAGGTGTTGCATGCTCTTTCCAAAAGTGACATCAATAGGCCGACAAACGTCAAACAATGTCAAAATGTAGTTATGATCCACGACATTCTGCCGTTACTTTATATCGGCTGTGGTTGTCACTTAATTTGCTGAGTTTGATATTCAAACTCGTTTTAATATAGCATACTCAACCGTCTGATAAAAGCAAACTTCACATCAAACCAAAGGTTATAAGTTCAGCAATGAAATATTTCGTTCATTATTACTCAAAATGAAGAAGGTTTTAATAATAAACGTTTCTTAAACAGTGAATAACTCTGCCAATTTAAAGAATGTTAACAGGGTATAAGTATTTACATCCTGTTAAAGTATGAAACGTGTTTGCTTATGCATAGTTCAGCTAAGTCTATGATGAGTAATGATACCGGAAGAGTTATTTTATGTATCTGAATGTGGCAAACCTATGGGTGCCTATTTTGTACACATACATTTCTGTAGTCTTTCAAACCGATTTCATTCTCCGTGTTATATTATGGATTTACGAGAGTTGATACAACTACAAACTGCAATTCACAACTGATCATGGTTAAAGTACTTGTTATCTATCATGAACATTTAAGTTCCATACTGTTACAGAACGAGTTATTATCTTGAAATGTTAGGTATTCATATTTTAACGCACTAGACAATAACATATTTCTAGTAAACCTACACAATCACCTGTTGAAAAATTTACAACTTGACAAATACGTGAATAACATTGTATTTGTTTCTGTGCCAAATTATAGGTTAGGGCATTTCATTCCGACAAAGCAGATCAAGTATGGTACATTAGGTACATTACTGACTAAAACGGTATCTTGTCATTTAGACCTTGCAGATTTTCCTGAACTGTGTGGACGACCCCCTTCATGTTAGTCGACCACTGTTATTCAAATACGTTTTGATTCCTTACTGAGCAGGTTCTGCCAGAGTCTGGTCGAAAATCTCGATTTGCCCATCGGTCGGTGACAGCGTCCTATAACATTTATGTGTCCTTGGCTGAAAACTAATTCAAATCATGTTATTATCCACCTTTTATAAATATACCAGAAGTTCCGTGAAGCATTGTCGTTTGTTTTGAGACGAATTTCAGATCAACAAGTTGTGTTTGAGACCGATTTTTTCAATGTTTTCTTGTGAAGTCTAACAACTGTAAAACAGAGACGGCAAGCGGAAAAGAGGCCACCGAAACGTTTTACTGCTGAGCAAGCAAAGAGTCTGTTCAATCGGTTAGATTAAGGAGGGAGTATTGACGATGGTGATTCTGATTTTGAATTTGACTTTGAAATCGAGACCCAGTTCCAGTGCTTCTCAATCACTTGATCAGAGGGAGGGGGCATCGCCCTAATCAGGAAGTAGTGGTACAAAGAAGCCACGAAAGCGAGCTCCAGCTAGACCTGATCTACCTCCTAGATCTACCACTACCAAAGCCAGAGATAATGATTGGGCTGAGGTAGATCTGTAAGACTGGTCAGCCAAAAGTAATGACTGCATTTTTGCCGAAGAACAGGCGTAATCCCGGTGTACACGCTGACATCAATGATAACTCAACGCTTCTCGAGTGTTTCAGAGCTCTCTGTTTACAGAAGATGTAAGTAATGCTCTTATCACTGCTATCAAGGAGTACCCCAAAGCACAAGTTGCAAAGAAAACGTCTGTTCAGAGACGGTCGAGGTATTTGAACTGGACTTCCCTTACTCACTATGAGCTGCTCATGTTTCTTGCAATGACAACATCAATGGACATCCTCAAACGACCTAGCATTTAAGAAGTTCGCATCCCCTCAGTCTCTCTACACACCCTTCTACCATCAAATCTTCAACAGGGAGAGATTTGAGGCCATTTACTCAACAATGGTTCATGTGGGTACCCCTGATAATGAAGGGAAAATAAGATTTAGAAAATTTAAATTTTATAAGTTACAGTGATAATTATTAGGAAATCATGAACATAATTCCGGCAGAATGAGCAACAAATTATAGGTTTAATGAGTTAAATCACATTATATTATCTGTATTCCTTACCTGTTCAAAGAACGCCTATTGTGTTTTAAGTCAAATATCGTAACATCAAATTTAACTGCAAGCAACATATAGGCAGAAGTTATTAGTTTATGTTTCTGAAAGTAAGGCTTTGGCTCTACTGAATTTTGAATCATTAACAATGCATTTACGAAATACGTATTAAATATATAAGTTCAAATTTTACCAGCTGATTAGATGGCTCGAGCGTCATCAATCACTTGGAAGGATTTGGTCATTGTGGCTATCAATAAGATCACGAAGACGATTATTGCAATAACATAATAAGACCTTTCTCCCTGACCATTTCGGTTGGTGAGAGTTATCGAGAAGCTCAATGCTGGACGGGTAGTTAATTCTAAACAATGACGAGAAAGAGTGCCGAATGTGTTCCCAGTTCTGAATATCCAGGAAATGTCGTCATATTACAATATTATTGAAAGTAGAAATAAGATGAAAATATCGTAAAAATGTACAAAGTATCAATTATGTCAAGCTGAAGAATGTATGCTAGAATAATAGTTCAAACTTAGTGTAATGAAAATGTTTAATAGGTATTATAATATTTAGCCAACCATTTAACTCTAGTCAGTAATAAGTGTGGTACACAATCCAGTAGCGATAGCAGACAGATTTACTTACTTCGATGTCTTGAAAAGAGCGGCTCATCATAGCAATCAGCATGTTAATCATAACGGTCATGGCCATAATCATGTAGGCACCCAGAAGAGCGTGGCCAACCCACTGAGTAAAGGCTTGATCCTTTCTAGCCTTCAGATCCTTTACAGGGATCACGCCGAACAAAGACCACAACAAGGTTGTGTAGCTGGAGTCTATGCTGTGGTGAAGAATTGCAATAACGGCATTGGTAGAAAGCGGCAAATGATTAGAGGACTATAGGAGTAACATTCATAATGTGTCAAAATGAAATAAATAATAACATTTTAAAATATATATATTAAAAAAATCTATATGCTCTTTCAAGAGAAACAGCTTGAACATTTGAAGGGAAACTTAACTAATATGTTTGGATCTACAAGACATATTTCAGTATTTATGAATATGCATACGAAAACAAACACACCGAAGAAAAACATCTTAAATTGTATGCATGACAGTAATTCATTAAAATAATTACACTATTATATAACTTAGCACACAAAACAGGCAACCTTAAATCAGATATGGAAATGTTGAGGTCGACGGTGTCCTGTAAAAAAGAAAAAAAACAACAAACAAATGGATAGTTGAAAGTAAACTTATTATTAGATGCCAACAAGTCTTATACGATAAAAAAACAGTTAGAAATAAAAAAAAATAGTTTCTGTATTTATGGCAAAGGTACTAAGGATATTTGTCGTCGTCCCAGTTTTGAACTACTGACCAGGGTGAAGGCAGCCAACCAGCAGCACTTTACAAACCATCATCCACGCTAAAGGATTTACTGTCACTCTTATTAACACACAAACAACATAAAGTAGTATCTCACGGATTACAATGATGTGTGATCTTGACATTTTTAGAGCCATCTATTGTTTGTACGATGTTTCAGACTCTATGATGAGTCCTTTTTAAAGGAAGTATCTCACTACAGATAATGTTCATAAAAGCACTTAAAAGGATATAATACTTGTTTTAAAATAATGGAAACATAGAAAATGAAGGATTCCTTGAACTTTTTAATGTAAATTGAGGTTAGCTTGAACGATTGAACAACCCTTCTTCGAATTCTCTTTGCTTGTTGTTAAGCACAAGGCTACACAATGAGTTATCAGCGTTCTGTCCACCGCTGAGAATCGAACTCCGGGTTTTAGCGGAGGACAGGATGAGAAGAGTTTACAAATAAACTATTTTATTTCCTGAAGGCTAACCGTATTAGAGTACAACTAACAAACCATCATACGTCAGTAATACAGAGAATGAAGGAAACCAGAAATTACTACTCAACATAGCCCCCCTACCAGTGGCATAGCGGTATGTCTGCGGATTTACAACGATAGAATCCGGGTTTCGATACCCGTGGTGGGCAGAACACAGATAGCCCATTGTGTAGCTTTGTGCTTAACTTCAAACAAACAAACAAACCCAACATAGGTGAATATAAATAAGACGAATTTCTTCCATCGTTCCATGAGTTTCATGAATTGCAAAACTGGATTACGTTTGTTTGATTTCGGGCAAAGCTATACAAAGGATATCTGCGTTAGACGTTCGTAGTATTAAATGATATACTAAAAGGAAGGTAGCTAGCTAGTCAACAACACCCACCACCGATTATCAGGTTACTCTTGTCTCACTGTATAGTGGGATTTGACCGTAATTCTTATAACGCACCTATGACTCCAAAGAGCGGATCCCGATTTTTATGTGTGTGGTTACGGGACGAGTACCACAGAACCTCAACTCTACAGTCCAACTCATTAAACACTCAGCCCATGGTGTTACGTATCCAGCCGTATACAACTGGGATCATCAATTACACATCTAGAAATATACCATCCATGCAATTCTTTCTAGAGAAGATCAAAACGATGCTGGATCAGGAGATTACAGGACTACAGCATCTTATTCAAGACTTAAGCCATTACCTGATGTTATTTTGTGAGTATATTGTACGCTACTATTGTGAAAACACATGATATACGATACCGCTAGCAGCGGATAGATACTGATCTCGTTTATTGGCAGCAGCTTACTCATATCTAACGTGAAGAAAAGAAAATCCCATTTCTTTCTAAAAACTCTTTGTACACAATATTAAAGTTTTATTTCGATTTTATCGCAGGATCCAGCTGGTTCATTGGTTTTCAAGTATTGATCGGAATAATACGAGAAAAGCAATGCCATTAATAGACTCCATATTACCAGATAAACGTTTGTTATCTAAGCGATTACAAAGTTTTGTCTTAAGTATTTACCATAAACTATTGAGGAAGTGAAAAGAACCAAAATATGATTTTTTTTTTATTTGCTTGGGTTATAACTGCATATTTAGTTTAACAAGTAAAGGAGAGCTGGTACATCATTTTTCAAAGATGGAACCGTTTAAATTACTACATAACAAAATATTACATGATAAAATTATTTAAATATTAAGGTCATGAAATCCTGGTACAGTGCAGCATGATACTTTCTTAACTATACCCCCTTCTCCCCTGGTGGCCCAGCAATTAGTCTGATGGCTTATAACGTTAAAAACTGGGGTTTGATATTCGCAGTCGACAAAGCACAGATAGCACATAGTGTATATTCGTGCTTAACAACAAAATCAAGAGAGAATCCTCAATAGCTGCGGCTGTAATTATATCTCAAATCAGTCAGGAGACGGAGCTATGAGCTAAAAGTTTGTACTTGAAAAAAAAATAACTCAGAGCCATACTATGAGCCAGTATGCTGCGGCTAAAAACGAATTTAACTATAAACATTATTGAAAATTATATTATTTGTATTATTCGTATATTTAGTAAAAATGTGTATATGTTTAATGATTCATTTGTCTGTTTTAGCTCATATTTACACAATGGAATAACCATATCCTGTCCATCGTGGGGAAAGGACCCCGGATTTTAGGTTGTAAGCCCGTAACCTAAATGTATGATAGAGAATGACTAAAGTGGGTGTTTGTATCATTTAGGATGCCATCATATTGATAATTGAAATAATGTCTGGCAATATTCGCTAAACAAAGATTTAGGAGCTCTGTCATTAAAAGTTTTATCAATATATACAAATATATATAAATAATTACAATTATTTAGTGGTTATATTTTTTCGTGTTATCACATTTTCCTTAATTTTGGCACTTTTCTTTACTTGTATACTTGACGTAGTTTTATAGGCCATAGTTAAGCCTTACGCCTTGTAACTAACCTAACTATTATAGCTAAGCCTAACAACTTACATCTATATGACAACGAACGAAACTACCCACATCAAAGAAACACAAAACAACAGAAAAAGCCTTACGAAACTGAATCGTCTGTCCAAAAATATTTATGGAAGGTGAAAATTCGTTAATTATTGATTAATAATTCTACTTCTACGCTAATATGGGAAAAGAAAATACCAAAATTAATTATCAAATATGTGCTAAAGATCAAGAAATATTTTCGGACTACATTTTCACTATAAATATAGGTATCACACATAATTTTTGAGCCCTGCATGGCCAGGTGGCTAGGACTCTTGACTCGCAGTGGATGCTATAAAAATATCATTGAAAATTACACAGAACTAGATGAATATCCGTTAGTTTTTGGTCTCGGCAAGGCCAGGTGGCTAGGGCACTTGACACGCAATCTGAGGGCCGTGGGTTCGAATCCCCGTCTCACCAAACATGCGCGACCTTTCATCTGTTGTAAAGCCTTATAAATCTTCGACCTGATCTAAAATTATCGTCTGTGAGTTTCTTAACCCTGGAATTATTGATGGTGTCCTCATTGGATTTTAAACACAATTCTTGATACATTTGTGGTTCATGACTTTATTGGATCTTTAATAATATGTGAGTCACCCCCCCCCCCCCCAAAAAAAAAAGGTAAACAATAATAACATAAATACTGCAAATAATCCCACTATTTACTTCTAGGATCCCCTATATGTACTTTACATAGAAAAGGAGTGTTTTTACTCAATTTTGATACTTCTTCATACAGAATGTTTAAAAACATAAAACTAGTCGCTACTATGTAATAAATTGTCCCTTTGTTAATGTAAGGTACAAAACAAGTCGATAGTTTAAGAGTTAGTTTGTCAATAGAAGCAAAAAACAAAACTTACGTAATGAAAGCGTCTGTGTTGCGATAACAATTAACGGTTACGTTTTCGCCCCCGATTACCTTCGTTTCACAAAACTCTGTGTCAGCATCATAATGCCAGTAAAGCTGATTTAGGCCACATGCGAATGATGTCAGCACTAAGAAGAAAATGAAGAGAAACTTTGCGATATCGATGATCATACAACCGAGTGAGATTTGCAGTGGTCCTAGATGCGGATTGGTCTGGAATAAGTAGATGATTCGTGCGAAGCTAAAGACATTAGCCACAGCAAACACGCCCTCCGCAATAAGAGTGGGGTCGTTGTTAGGCCAGCGTGCGCGCTCCAGGATCCGAGGCCCGTATTGGTCGCTTTGGATCTGAAAGAAGGCCACGGCTTTGAGAGAGAAAGTGGCCAAGTAGAGGGATAACATGATGAAGTCTAACCAGTTCCACCACTGTCGTACATAGGCCTTGATTCCTTCTTCCCACAGCTGCTTACATTCCGCCCACACCATCCCTAGGACAGAACAGAAATGATTCAATACTGTTCGCTCCAAGTCATTCCAAGAAAAAGATCAAATTGTTGTTTCTTGTCTGTTTCAAAAACATTCTTAGAAAACAATACAATCTGATTATAACTAATTCAACTGCATTTTTCCTAAGAGGCAGTGAAAAAAATAATTTTCTTCGACATATTCTTAGAATATATAGAAAGATATCCACTCTTTACCCATCAATAGAAATTAAGAAGAGGCCTGGCATAGCCTGGATGGTTAGGGCGCTCGTCTTGCAATCTACCGGTTACGGGATCGAAGCCCCTCACTGAAAATGCTCGCCCTTTCAGTTGTGGGGGCTTTATAATATGACGGTCAATCTCACTATTCGTTGATAAAGAGCAAACCAAGATGGTAATTTATCAAGTATTCATATGGAAAGTATATTTTCTGCCTGTATTGGATATATTAAGGCCTTTATAAAGTGTAACATAATTGATCTAGTAAACGATTATGTTTTAATTTCGTTTAACCGAAATAAACTTTACATTAAGTAATTACTTTGATTGTTAGATAAATACCAAACTGCTATATTGCGTTTCTTTTAAGATTTGGATAGTTAATGATCCAAAATTAGTAACACCTGGTCTAAAATTTTAACGGAAAGACATAAATGACAACAACTAACATAATTACTGGTGTTTCTCTTTGAAGCTTATTTCAGTAAGGGCTTGTTAAAACCCAACTGTTGTCTTGTCATGATCTTTTAGAAACTAATTGTTGCTTTGTCATAATCTAAATTTCTTGTTATAGAAACGTACTGACTTTCTGTCTAAGCTTCTTGGGATACTGTTGCTTGAAACAAACTGTAAACTCGTCCCAGTTTAAAGGTTCTTGTTCTTCAAAAGTTTCTCTTGTTATAGGTGTTTATTGGCGTTATTGCTCTAACTTGATAAGAATACATTTTTGGAATATGCTGTCAAGGTGTTAAAGTTTGAAACTTGTTTAATTTCATCAAAAAGCGTTTAGTTCTATATATTAAAATGTCAACTAAAACCTAATACGGGTGATATATATGGAAGTCTCTATGAGATACAGTTTGATTTACAGAGGTAGGCCAGTTTCACACTGAGTAGAAGGACATTAAATAATGCCTTTGTAAAATGCTTCTTCTATAGCTTTGTGTGAAATGATTATCAAAAACCATGGAAATAATGAATGATTGTCCTTCTGTGACTTTTGGTGTACCAAAGAAGAAAATAACATTATTTTTACAGGTTTTGGGTAAGTAGTCTTATAATATAGAAAAGGAGAAAATAGCATACAAATTACCCACAGGTAAAACTTTATTGTACCTTTAAAACATAAAGCAGAATTAAAAATGTGTTTCAGCTTAAGGACAAAATTCATTTTAAGCAGAAGTCCTCTGTATATTATATCTCCACGCATGGTCAAATTGCAGGAAGCTTCAGCAGAGGAGGTTATAAACTCTGTATCCCATTAGCATCGGCAATCGGTAAACACACCTTGGAGTTAAGTGACATTCAAACAGTAGTTGACGATTACAAGGAAAACCATTCGACTTCGAAAACAGTGATAAACCACAGAGAACAGTCCCTACCTCAAAACCTAACTTTATATTCATATTAAGACAATACCGCATGAAAATATGGAAGTTTTGGACTTATCTGCCTATGGATGATTTGAGTAACGATATATAATGTTGCAGTTAAGTAGAGACACTTTCTTTGCTTCTGAAACATCGGTGATTTCTACTGTATAATTAGTCAGATTCACAAGTGTTAGTCATTTTAAAAGATATAACAAAAATTTACTACGCAAGGTTGGATAAAACTCTGTTTAAACAACAACAAGGAAATAAATAACAACGACCAACAACTACGGTCTTTATTCCCGCCAAAAATGAAATGCAAATTATGGATTCTAATTTTGGCTTTTCAGCTCGAATTCAAATTTACTTCATTTTTTTGTATATTTTATAAAAAAACTAATAAAATGCCAAAATTCAAATAGTATAGGTATTTCTCGTGTATATTTAGTTCCGTTATTACACACACACACAGATATTTTATTAATTCTAAGTGCAGTTTATAAAGAAACTGGAATATGTTCTTTTTAAAATACCACAGTTTTTGCATGACTGATCTCGTTTCATTTTTAAGCTTTACTTTTTACGATAACTGTGCCTTTTATTAAAGGAAATTACCAGTGCTTTTCTTTGTAGCTTAGTTCAGTGATGCCCTCTTAGAAACCAACTGTAGCCTTGTCATTATTTAAATTTTTTTGTTATAGAAACTTACTGATTTTTCCTCTAAGTTTTTTCGGTACATTGCTGCTAGAAGCAAATTATAATTGCCTCACAGTTTGTATTTATGTCGGGTTAATTCTAGTTAGAATGGTTAATAGATTGGTAACCATGAAAAGGCTCAATAGAACCAGTTTACCTGTAACCCAGAAGAAAACCAACCATTCCACCAAGGACGGCGGAGGTCCACGAATGTTTTGCCTTGACCGTTCAGATCCCTCTAATCGAGTGGATGCCAGTACCAGCAGAAGAAGAAAGAAACCGAAAGAGGCACTGCAAAAGAACTGTCTACATTAGACGTTTAAGCTTCTGGACCTTTAATAACTATTACACCATCTAAAACACGTTTTTCTAAGTTTCCTTTAAAACATTATTATAAAATCAATACCAAGTTATTTTAATTGCTGTTCTCCAGCGGCTCAGTACGGTAAATTACTCTGTCATAGAGAAACTTAGAAGTACTAATGTATAATATGAAGTGAAAACAAAAATACAAAATATACGTGATGTAGATCACTTGACTTCACACAAATAAATGCTAAAATCATTTTGTTCATTTCTAACGTAATATCCACATACAATAAGAAGTTAAGCAAAAAAAAACTTTTATAATATTCTATAAATTTTCATTTTTTTGAATCTTAGAGCTGTCTATCTTTGAAAGATCGTCAAAACACTAAACAAACATCTTTAGTTCAGGAGAAAGAACTTATCTCTTCCGTCTACGTATTTATAACATTGAAACAGCAATTCATTAACCTCTCATTTAACCAATTCCGAATTTCACATGGACATAAGAATATGTACCTGTGGTAGATGAACTTCATGAATGGTGATCGGACAACACGGCCTAGCTTAGACCTGGGGAACCACAAGTAATATAGAGCAATCAGTGGCATACATGCGATTAGACCGAAGCACATTAGCATCTTCATGACCCCGTTCCATCGTCGCCATACGGACAAACCCTCATACCAGATGGACGTCAGCAATTGTTGACAGTTGGGGTGGGCTACGAACTAGTGCCAAGGAATAAAAGAAAAGCCATATGAAAGTGTAAATCAACATGTTTTTAAGAAAACTAAAACGTCCTGCGAATTAGACAAACCAGGAGTTAATAGGATTTCCTTCGTTTGCTTGTCAGTCCTTAAATGACCCAAGTAGTCGGCTAGAATTTTTTAGCATTTATTTCTATTCCATTCTTAAAAGCTTGTTTTATGCTTTTAGAATTAACACTGAATTAACAAGATTTAGCACTTAAAAATATTTTGGCAGCCATTACGAATAGACATGGGTACATTGTCATGCATCTAAAATTTATCCATCAACCATGATATATAAGTTGGTCGGTAAAATGGACGATGTGCAGAGTCGACTGATACAAGGATTTTAAATACTCCTGTGCTAGAAACCTGATAACTCATCAGATCATGTGTGACACAACATATCAGATATTTACATCTCACGTTATAACTATCTACAAATACCAGAAACACCCTACTACAACAGTTACCTGTTTTTGTTCATATTTCAACGCTAGCTTTAGACGAGCTAGAGTCAACTTTTCTGTGTCAGCATCGTCCTCGTCGTCAGAATCCGAGTCTGACTTCTTATTTAGGACAGCGATAACTTCCTCTGTGCTTCTGCAGAGGTCCAAAAGATCGCAAGAGTAGCGTTTGCATTGATTACTCAGCTCCAGGTAATTGTCCTTAAATTCGTTTTCCCGCATGGCTAGGTACTCAAGCTCCCAAGAGAGCTAGAAAAACGAAAAAAAAACAAAAAACACAACAATATTCAATTTTTAGAAAGAGAAAATAATATTAGCGAGCATCAGTGCGCGTGCGTGTTCGTACTTGTATTATCTTTCGCTTACCTTTGTTACCTAAGGAACAACAACGAAAATCAATGTTGCAGGACAAGCGCCAAGAAAATAATATTTCCATTTGTTTCAATTTTGTTTTTCGCGCTATTTCAAAAATTATAAAACAGATCAAGCTAAAATAACTGAAGTGATTTTAAAAGTTTGTTACAACATGTTAGTTTAAATTAAAAAGTACTTGAAATTTAGAGAATTTTTTTTTATTTTTTGCTGTTGTTGGCGTTGTTGCTAAATGTATTGGAATACAAAGACTTTACTTCATGTAGAAAATTTCATCAAAAAAATGTTAATAGAGCAGTTTTGTAGAAGTTGATGCACATATGCTTCACATACACAGAGTTCTATCACTCAGTTTCTCAGTACTCTACAATACTTTGAGTTCTGAGAGACGAAAGCTGCTTTGCAAAACCTTCTGCACAAGAAACCAACATGGCAAACTTGCGGTTAATATTTAGAGACTGTACAAATAGGAAGTAACTAGTTGTTAAATATAATGTCTGATAAAAGAAAGAAAACTAATTTTAATGTAAAGCTAATTCGGCCACAAAATATATTTTTATATTATTCTACTAGTAGCACTCAGTCTCATCATGATAAAAAATATAACGTTAAGAAATACAATAGTCCTAATACTAATGTCTTATGACTAGTATAATTAGTTATAATCATGTTTCGCCAGCTTAGAAAAGGCGTTAACACTGTAATAACTATTATCCTTGTAATACTTTCGAAGTTCATCATAACATTGGATCTCGTTCACAATTATAGAACACCTTTGACAATACATTACGTTTTTCAATCAATCTAAAAACCGGTCGTTTCTACTAACGAGACATTAAAGACATTATTGATTTATTCTGTAAAATTATCTAATGTTTTTTTTTTTACCAGGACAAAACAGACCCGATAAAGAAACATGAACTTACAGAACTTTGTTTTTGATGGATTAATGATGACTGCTTTTTTTCAACAATAACTGAACGAATCACTTTAAAAAAAACTAATTCGATATTCATGGCTTTCAAGCTTATCATGTTTAAAAAGAATAAAAATTACATTGTTCTTGCTGACAACCTGTGAGTTCAACTCATGGTAATGAATAAAATCTTTGTTGCACTTTAAACAAAACCAAAATGTAATCAAAATTATACTACGATATGGACTAGGACTAATCGGCGTTTCTGACTAATTACCTTGAAAGCAGTCAGAATGGGGTCGTCACTAGTCAGTGAGATCCACGCCGGACTAGCTAAAGCTCGGTAGGTGTGAATCTTCCGTAGGGAGTATCGCAGACTGTCTGTTAGCATTCCTTCTTGGCATTTCTGGCAACAACACGAAAGAGAATGTGGCTTGTCGATCATCGCTCCTCGTGACAGTAGTAACTGTAAAATCTCGAACTGGTTGCAATGGGCGGCAAGAATAACAGGGGAGATATCAGGACTGTAGTCTGAACTTTCATCACCTTGTTGGCGGCTCTTGGCCCAATCACTGGCCAGCATGCCCGTCGTGATGCTGGGATGATTGATCAACATCTCAACGATTTTGTAAACCCCTTCGCGAATAGCATAGAGAAGAGCATCTCCAATTTTTACTTGTTCTTGTTGCAAGAGAAGCTCCACAATCTCCACATTTTCGTTGTCAACAGCGATCTGGATAGCGCTACGGCCCAGAATGTTAGTGCAATTTACGTTGACAGGATTTGGCAGTTGAAGACAGCGAATCATGGTGTGCTTGTCACCACGTTCAGCGGCTTCCAGAAAAGTCCTCTCCCTGGGATCCATGCTTTGATTGTCTTTCAGTGGTTCCAGGGGAACTGGGATTCGGTTGCGGTTAATGCTGAGCTTCTTGCTGCGGCTGAAAGAACTGGCCATTGAGGTGCCACGAGAAATCTCCATAGCAAAGATCATATAGTTTCTTCAGGAAATGTCTTTTTTTAAATATTAACTGGATCAACAAGGCTTAATTGTCTGACGTCTAGACATGTTCGATTTCGACAGACAACTTCCGTCACTGAAACATCATAAAAAATGTAATTATAGCTTCAAAACAGCACCTATAAATGTTACGATAATATATTTTATATTTAATCATTTATGTTCATAAAAATATTTTTATAAAATAGTTGATTATATTTATTGTCAAACCTTACTTTGAAATTATTAACCGTAAAACATTTTAGTTACAAACAAAACTCCCATTACATAAGCTATAACTCTTCTGGCCTGAAATTGAGATATATGTATCAGAAAGCAGAAACAATGAATCTTTCGAGTTGTTACTATCTTCATACAGCAGATAATATAGTTTTAGATCAATCTTTAAATAACAAAAATTCATAATTAAAGTAAAAGTTCTGAAAACGCAAAATTGATGTTTACTAACATACTTAAATTTTCGCCAATTTAACACAAATTTTGAAAAACCAGACTTCACTTTATAAACAAAAATATTATTGAATTTTTCAATTCACAACCTTTTATTACATACGTCAAAATATGTTTACAGAATGTAAAACGATTTTACTGGTAGACTCTATAGGGGTTGGTGAATGTAACTTTCAGCCTGAGTGGTCCCTGGTGATACAGCGGTAAGTTACTGACTTAAAATGTTAACATCCCAGATTCGATTCCATGCGGTGGACCGAGCACAGTTAACCCCTTATGTAGCTCTGTGTTAAAACAACAGTCCCCAATCCGAGTGAAACCGTTTTAAAATAAAGGGCCTTCTTCGGGAACAAACTCATTAAAGTTTAAGCCCAACTAAGAGTATTTTTAGCTAACAAACAATTCCTCTTTGACAAAAGTAATATAATTATATATTTTGTAACAAATTCTCAACTAACATAACGACTTATTGACCAGAACAATGTATTGTAAACACATTCTAAAGATATTTTTACGATAGATTCCCCTTTATCGGTCAGATTAACTTGTAGAATTTTCAACCCAATACAAAACAAACTTTAGGTAAACAGACACCACCTGATTGATCATAATAATAATTAATATTAGTTTTATCCAAAGCTAACTAGTATATACTAAGAAATATCCACTTACTAAGAACAACAAAAATAACACAGGCTTGCGAATCTAGACTTCATAAAAGTAATTTTGGCTTTAATAACGGATTTTCCATAATTCAGCTACGCAGATTTCGAAAATAATATTCATATTTTTTATCACGTAAAGATTTTTTACAAATCGGGAAGAAAAAAACTTACTTGGATCAAAGTA